GGGGCGGGGGCGGGGTGGGGCGTGGCGGCAGGGCCCCCGCCCACGGCCACGGGCAGAGGGATGTCGTCTTCGTCGATGGCGTTGCCCTTCCGGACCGAGGCCAGCAGGTTCTCCAGCGTCTGAGACGAGGCGTGAGTGTGGGCTTCGGAGGAGCCGGGAGCGACTGGTTCCGGGGCTTGGGTGGGGGATCCCGGCACCCCGCCTTCCACCCACTCACCTTAAGGCCGCGGTCGTAGCGCCGCATCTTGGCGCTGTCTCCAGCCTGCCTGGCGCTTTCCACTGCGGTCTGGTAGAGCGCCAGCCTCTCCAGCAAGGTGGTCTCTACCCCCAGGCGGGGGGCTGCGGGCTTGGGCTGCGGGAGGGTCCGGCACGGTCTGGGTGGTGACCCTGCGTGGGCGCCCCTGCCGGACCCTCCCCGCGAGACCAGTCTCCTCTGCCCGGCGGGTCAGACACTGGGGCCCCGGGGCCCGGCTGGGGACTGGGGCTCAGAGGCTTCGTGCCACCTGTCTGAGGCCAGGCGGCGGCCAGGTCATTCCTGTGGCTCCAGGGAGCGGGTCAAGGCTGGAACTTACCTGGGCCGCCGGTGCCGGAGCCTCTGGAGCCGGCTGCTCCTCCCCAAGGACCTCATTGAGCTCCGCCTGCAGGGCACAGGGCTGGGTGGGACACAGGCCTGCCGCTGGGGAGATGGGGGGAAAGCCCCCGCCCCGCCCAGGTGCTCACCAGTAAGTCGTCGTCGGCCTCCACGTCGTCCTCATCTGTGCCCTCCTCCTCGTCCGGGTCTCGCATGCACAGACTGGCCATCTTTTCAATGGCCTCCATGGGCAGGGGACCTGGCACAGGGGGAAACCCCAGCTGAAGCCAGATCTGCCAAGAGGCCCCTCTTCCGGTCCCAGACACCCCTCAGACCCTCCCTGCATGATCTCACCCGCCAGCCTCCCTGGCCTCATCTTTTTCTCACCCAGCCTCAGTTCTAGGGCCATGAATCTTTTCTCGGGTCAGGGTTTCTCTCGCCCTGATGCCCAGGCTGGAGTGTAGTGGCACAATCACAGCTCACTGCAGCCTTGACTTCTTGGGCTCGAGTGATCCTCCCACTTCAGCCTCCCAAGTAGCCAGGACCACAGGCGTGCACCACCGTGGCCTGCTAATTTTTTTTTTTGTAGAGACAAGATCTTGCCATGTTGCCAGGCTGGTCTCAAACTCCTGGGCTCAAGCAATCCTCCGACCTCGGTCTCCCAAAGTGCTGGGATGACAGGTGTGAGCCACCACACCTGGCCCTTGGGGCCAGGAATCTGAGTTCAAACCCCAGCTCTACAACTTTCTCACTGTGGGACTTTGGGCAAGTCACTTCCCCTCTCCTGGAGAGCAGTGGTACAATCACAGCTCACTGTAGCCTTGACCTCCTGGGCTCAGGTAAATCCTCCTGCCTCAGCTTCCCAAGTAGCTGGATTACAGGCATGTACCACCATGCCTGGCTAATTTTTTTTTTTTTTTTGAGTTGGAGTCTCACTCTGTCACCCAGACTGGAGTGCAGTGGCCGCTCCCGGCCACCGCAGCCTCGCCTGCTGGGCTCCGGCGATCCTTCCGCCTCAGCCTTCCGAGTAGCTGGAATTACAGGCGTGCGCTACCACGACCGGCTAATTTTTTGATTTATTGTAGAGATGAGGTCTCGCCAAGTTGCCCAGGCAGTCTCGAACCCACGGGCTCAGGCAATCCACTCACCTCAGCCTCCCAAAGGCGCGGGATTACAGGCTGAGCCACTGAGCCCGGCTGCCTGGCTAATTTTTAAATTTTTTCGTAGAGATAAATTGTTGCCCAGGCTAGTCTCGAACTCCTGGGCTCAAGTGATCCTCCCGCCTTGGTCTCCCAAAGTGCTAGAATTACAGGTGTGAGTCACCATGCCTGACTCAAGACACTTTATTGAATATACATTGTTAATTCATTAACTTTGAATTCAGGGCCAACAGCACTAGAACTCGTGCCTGAAGGAAGCTTCTCTAACACACGCATTTTCTCTGTAAGACCCATCACAGCCTTCTTGGGCTTAGGAACGCTAGACAGCACTTTTGTATTATGCTTGGGTCATTCTGAACAGCAAAATCACCAGCAAAAACACCAAAATCAGAAAAACATAGCATTAACCACACTGCAAAAGTGACACTTGTTTACAATAAGAGCTGTAACAAAAACGTGTTGCCTGTTGTACATCGGGAGACTCAGACTTTTTACTGTTTTTCACCTCTCTGTGATTGACCATGAAAGCACCATGAGAACTGATTTGGAGGTTACTAGGCTGGGTACAGTGGCACATGCCTGTAATCCAGGCACTTTGGGAGGCCAAGGTAAGAGGACTGCTTGAACCCAGGAGTTCGAGATTAGCCTAGGCAAAATAGCAAGACCTCATCTCTACAAAAAAAAAAAAAAAGGAGGAAGAAGAAAAAAAATGACTTGGGGGTTACTAATACATTTTATTTATTTTTTTGAGTTGGAGTCTCTGTTGCCTAGGCTGGAGTACAGTGGCATGATCACAGCTCACTGCAGTCTCGACCTCCTGATGTCAGGCAATCCTTCTGCCTCAGCCTCTTGAGTGGCTGGGTCTACAGGCACATACCACCACACCCGGCTAATTTTTTTTATTTCTTTGTAGAGATGAGGTCTTACTATATTGTCCAGGCTGGTCTCAAATTCTTGGCCTCAAGCGATCCTCCCACCTTGACCTTAAATTTTTATTTTGATTGTGGGGTCATAAATAAATTTCAGTGAGTAGATGTCTTCATAAATATGAAATCCACAAACAGAGCCGGGCTTGGTGGCTCAGCCTGTAATCCCGCGCCTTTGGGATTCTGAGGTGAGTGGATTGCCTGAGCCTGCGGGTTCAAGACCCGCCTGGGCGGCGAGACCTCATCTCTACAATAAATAAAAAAATCAGCTGGGTGTGGTAGCACATGCCTGTAATTCCGGCTACTCAGAAGGCTGAGGTGGAAAGGATCGCCGGAGCCCAGCAGGTCAAGGCTGCAGTGGCCGGGAGCGGCCACTGCACTCCAGTCTGGGTGACAGAGTGAGATTCCCACTCAAAAAAAAAAAAAAAAGAAATCCACAAATAATCTGGACTGACCATAGGCTAAAATGTTTACAGGCCCCATTTACCCTCTGAGTTCCAGCCCCACTTGAACACAGCATCATCCTCTGCTCCCTGCCTTCTGCCCCAGGGCCTTTGCACCTGCTGTGGCCTCTCCTGGAAGTGCATCCCACCTCTCACCCGGCTCTCCCCATTGTGAGTGCTCCCTTCAGGAACCCCGCCATGCCTCACAGGTCTCTCCCATTACTCTTCCCCCATCCCAGGCTTGATCATGGGCAGTAGGTTGCACTGATGACATGAGCTTCTTATGTGGCAAGTGGCCCAGGGTGAAGTACTTATGGCCCTTAGAAGATTAATACCTGTGATATAAGCCTGGCTCTTATTCCCACTTTACAGATGGGGAAACTGAGGCCAACACAGGTGATGTAACTCATCAGGTCACACAACCAGTAAGGAGCAGAGCTGGGATTTGAACCCTCAGTTTGGGTCCAGAGTTGATCACTTCCCCTTTTACCCTGATCCTAGGTTTCAGGAGGGTAAGGGTCTTCTCTGTCTTCTTTTTCCTATCTACCCAGTGCCCAGCTCTGAGCCTAGCACACGGTGGGGGATCAGAAAACGATCAGGGGTGCGTTAGCCATCTTACCTTTGCCTTTGAGCTTCTCCAGGGCTGGAGGCTGGCCTCCCACCAAGGCCAAGAACTCAGCCTCCAGTTCCTCGTCATTAACTCCATCCTCAGGGATCATCAGGCCGTCTGGGGAGAGGTCAACCAGCAGGCCCAGCTGGGGGAACAACAAGGGTCCACTCAGATCAGGGGAGGCATCACCTGGCTAGAGGCAGCCATGATGGACCCAGAGTGTCCCCAGGAGAAGGAACCAAGGTCTTTGTTTTTTTTGGGAGGGGGGCGATTTTTGAGTTGGAGTCTCACTCTGTTACCCAGGCTGGGGTGCAGTGGCACACTCATGGCTAATGCATCCTCGACCTGCTGGGCTCAAGAGATCCTTCCACCTCAGTCTTCCAAGTAGCTGGAACTACAGGCACACACCACCATACCTGGCTAGTTTTTTGATTTATTGTAGAGATGAGGTCTTGCTAAGTTTCCCGGACTGGTATCGAACCCATGGGCTCAGGCAATCTTCTTGCCTCAGCCTCCCAAAGTGCTGGGATTACAGGTGTGAGCTGCCACGCCCAGCTGAAGGAATCAAGGTCACTGGGGAAAGCCATTTCCCTGGGGAGGGCCAGGAGGCTGGAACAGGTGTCCTATGATGGGCCCAGCCCTCTGGCATAGATCAACATGGGACAAAGGGCAAGCAGAGAGGATCTGCTCCTTGCTCCGAGCCCACACCAATGATGTGCTGCTAGCCAAGTTCATTGGGAAAAACAGGCCCCACACCCTGCCCAAAGAAAAGCTACTCTGCGAAGCATCCTGGGGTTCTCTTTCCAGCATCCTCAGCAAAGGGGGCCATGCAGGAAGGTTGGGCCATCAAGAGCAATTAGAAGCCTTAACAATGTTGAAGTTGAAAATGGGGTCTTCATTGTACAGACCTGTCTTCTTATCTTGGCTAACAACCAGTCATGATGCGGTAATATTATGTGGAACTACAGGAAACTGCCTTTCCTGTAGGTCAAAAATGGCCAAATATAGGCAATGATGTATGGTTCCACCCATTAGTAATAATGATAATGATAGTATTGAGTGCTATGTTCTAGCACTTTCCATAAGCTATCTCAATGCACTCTTCACAACTGTCTTGTGACGTAGGGTCTCTTAGCAATCTCCATTTTTGTTTTTTTGAGTTGGAGTCTCACTCTGTCATCCAGACTGGAGTGCAGTGGCCGCTCCCGGCCACCACAGCCTCTACCCACTGGGTTCCGGCGATCCTTCCGCCTCAGCCTTCCAAGTAGCCGGAATTACAGGCGTGCGCTACCACGCCTGGCTGATTTTTTGATTTATTGTAGAGATGAGGTCTTGCTGCCCAGGCGGGTCTTGAACCCGCGGGCTCAGGCAATCCACTCACCTCAGCCTCCCAAAGGCGCGGGATTACAGGCTGAGCCACCGAGCTCGGCTCATTTTTGTTTTTTACAGACAGGATCTTGCTTTTGTTGCCCAGGCTAGATCACAGCTCACCGCAGCCTCAACCTCCTGCCTCAAGTGATCCTTCTGCAGCAGCCTCTCGAGTAGCTAGCACACCACCACGCCCGGCTACTTTTCTATTTTTTGTGGTTACAGGGTCTCACTATGTTGCCCAGGCTTGTCTTGAACTCTTGGCCTCAAGCCATCCTTCACCTTGACCTCTCAAAATGCTGGGATTACAGAGGTCTCCATTTTACAAATGAGAAAACTGGGGCTCAGAGCTGTGAAGTCAAGTGTCACACATGTAAATACCAGGAGGGAATTTCAGGCCAGCCAGACTTTAATATCTGAGCACTAGGCCAGGTGCAGTGGCTCACGCCTATAATCCCAGCACTTTGGGAGGCTGAGGTAAGAGGATTGCCTGAGTCCGCAGGTTCGAGACCAAACTGGGCAACTTGGCGAGACCGCCTCTCTACAATTAAAAAAAAAAAAAAAAATCTATGCCCGGGGCTCCTTCCAACAAAACTGAGAAAAAATCAAACTTCCCTGCGCCTGGGCAGAAGCTGGGAAAGGGAGAAGGGGCCCATCCAGTCCTGTGGGCTTATGGCCGCAGCTCTGGATTTGCACTTAGCTCTGGCCAAGCTGTTAATCCCTGCGACCTTGGGCGGATAGATGTCTTCACCTCTGGCCTCAGTGTCCTCATCTGTGCAGGGGAATGAAGTCTGACATGCCCGACCGATGCAAGGGCTCCATGCGCCCGGTCGCAGCACTGTCCCTCCCCGACTGGAGCTGTGGTGGCAACAGGTGGCCCCGAGCCCGGGGCGGGGCGCCAGGAGCTGGGGGGCCCGAGGCCAGTAGGCCGCACTTTGAAGGGTCGAGCCTCACCTGGGGGGCGGGGACCGGGACTCACCTGGGGGCGGAGATCGCGCTTCCCTGGGGGGTGGGGCCCTCCCCCGAGCGTGTGACTGGGGTGGGGAGGGATCCCCCGGTGGGGCCACGGGGCGCAGACTCACCTGGCGGGCGGCGGCGGCGCCTCGGCCCGGGGGTGCCGGGGGTGCCTTCCTCTTGTGCATCTTCCAGGCTGGATGCCTGGACCACCGGCCGCCGCGCCCGGCCTTGCCCTGTCTCCTCCCCCGGGGCCTGTCGCCGCGCACGCGCCCTTCCTGAGCCCTGCGCCCCTCGTCGGTGCCC